ACCATCATTTCTAAAGGAAACAACTTTAAATTGATAGATATCTCCAGCTTCTCTAGTGCCAGGAAATCTCGTTTTCTTGCTTTGCTTTGAGTAGGAACAGAAAAGGGAAAGCTTTATTCATTTCAGTAGATGACAGCCATGATTGTGAAGATATGAAAAACGCCATGCAGTAAACACTCTGTCCGTCAGTGTACAATTTGTTTATCAGCTTGTTACAGAAATCCAACTGATTTTCAATCTACTGATTTTAATAGGAGGCAATGATAACTCTGCTGAAATGAAACTGCATTATGCCTCACTTATCAAAATGCAAAAAGCAACTCTGTTCTTGTAAATGACATCTGGAGAACACTGGGAAAACATAATTGGTTGGCCTGGGACATAAGCAGCAAAAAAAAAAAAAGTGATACCACCCCACATCTTGGTGCAGAATTAGAACTGGAGCTAGAAAAAAATGATGTCACCCCACATCTTGGTGCAGAATTAGAACTGGAGCTAGAAAAAAATGATGTCACCCCACATCTTGGTGCAGAATTAGAACTGGAGCTAGAAAAAAATGATGTCACCCCCCCCACATCTTGGTGCAGAATCAGAACTGGAGCTAGAAAAAAATGATGTCACCCCACATCTTGGTGCAGAATTAGGACTGGAGCTAGAAAAAAATGATGTCACCCACATCTCGGTGCAGAATTAGGAACTGGAGCTAGAAAAAAATTATGATGTTGTAAGCTTGAAAGAGCAGGGCCCTCGATCCCCTCATGTTTTGCATTGAATTGGTATTGTTCTGAACATGTTCTGTCCCCCTTTGTAATGACAGCTAGAAAAAAATACTGTATGTCACCCCACATCTTGGTGCATAATTAGGACTAGAGCTAGAGAAAAATTATGTCACCCCACATTTCGGTGCAGAAATAGGACTGGAGCTAGAAAAAAAATCATGTCACCCCACATCTCGGTGCAGAATTAGAACTGGAGCTGGAAATTGCCAGGAAATGCAATTGGGTAACTGTACCTTATGTGATTTTCGTAGACTAATGAGTTTACTTAGTAGTACATAGACACTGACATTGAGGAGGAGATTTACTAAATTTGGAGCACTCAGAATCTTGTGCAACTGTGCATGGTAGTCAATCAGCTTCTAGCTTCAGCTTTTCATGTAAGCTTTGACAATAAAGCCTGGAAGCTGATTGGTTTCTATGCAGAGCTGCACCACAAACTTTGCACGCTCCAGTTTTAGTAAATCTCATCCACAATGTCTTTAGGTTTTCTTTAAGCTCATCATAAATAAATTTAATTTTACATTCACAATTATACAATCTTTCCCAACAGGCATGCATATACAATGTTTACTTTGGGATTGATAATTTTCATCAGATTCTCCATTATTTGCTTAAATTTGTGCAGAGACACGATGCAGTTTCTAAGGCTCACTTGTCATATATGGATTGATTTAGTAAAACTGGAGAGTGCAAAATCTGGTGCAGCTCTGCATATAAACCAATCAGCGTCCAGTTTTGTTTTTTTTTTTGTTGTCAAAGCAGAAGTTAGAAGCTGATTGGCTACCATGTATAGCTGCACCAGGTTTTTCACTCTACAGTTTTACTAAGTCAACCCCATATGACAAGGGAGCCTTAGAAACTGCACTGTGCTTCTGCACAATCTAAGCAAGTAATGGAGAATCTGATGAAAATCTTCAAGCCACTTGACATTTTTAAGGTAATTCTGTCCGTAAAAGTTTTCTGTTGTTCCTATCATACTGTAGATACAAGAATGAAAAACATTTTAGGATACAGCAAAGCAGAGGTCACATATAACAAAGTGTATATATGTATAATGTACACTTTATCTACCCCAGGTTTGAAGAGAAGGGGTGTTCTCTCCATGTAATGTGTAGAACGTCTTCCCTCATGCATCTCAGCATACCTGTAGAAGAGTATATAGAGTATATGGAGTATAGAGTATATGCGGTATGTGGAGTATGGAGTATATGGGGTATGTGGAGTATGGAGTATATGGAGTATGGAGCATATGGGGTATGTGGAGTATGGAGTATATGGGGTATGTGGAGTATGGAGTATATAGAGTACGTGGAGTATGGAGTATATGGGGTATGGTGTGCTGTCGGTACTATCTTACATCATTATTATATAGGTTCATTTCTTTATATTCTTAGTCAAGACACCCTTTAAAATTATGGACAGTCCAGAGGCACCCTTTAAAATTATGGACAGTCTTGAGACTCCCCATTCTAAAATGTGAAAAACTGTTCTATTAGTTTTCTATAACACAGCTACATCCACACATGTAGGACACCCAACATTAGAGGTGATTTATTCTTTCAAAGCAAATACACTTTTGCACACTGGTACTGACTAGTATACCAGTGTTTCTCTTCTCCCTCAGTTTTCTCCATCACTGAGCTAATGTGACCCGAGCACTGTTGGAGAGGGGCAGAAGAGGGTCAAACTAGGATACTGTGCAGGCAGCTGACATCCTCCTTATTGACTGATGATGTCATTGGTTGTCAGGACGCCGGTGGATAGAAGGCAGTAATGGTGCACAATGAAAACCTGTGGCTTTGTGTAACTAAAAGGCATGCATGTTCCACCCGCTGGCTTGTATACAAGCTTTGGGCAATTTTTAGACATTTTGCCAAGGCACCCCTGAGGAAACCTCAAAGCGCCCCAGGGTGCCTGGCACCCTGGTTGAGAAAGGCTGTTCTAGATCACACCCTGCTTTTTCAGTGTGTATATTTAGGTTGGTCAGTAATATTTTTTTAAGTTGCGTATCATTGCTTATTGATTTTCACTGATCTTTTGGTGGTATGTAAGAAGTTTATATAGCAGTGTTTTCAAACTTTTTTTTTCAACCGGCTTCAACATTTACTACCTTTACATGCTAATGAATGTGTCATTCCCGCTAAAGCTTAGCAAGCATGAAGTGGGGAGGCATTAATGATTTGATAGGAAGTAAAGAAAGTCTGGTAGAATTGTGAGCAGGATAAAGATCACACAGTCCATACACTTTGGAACACACAGCTACCAGGGCCGGGAAGAGTGAACAGCCGTGCCATGTGCTCTAACCAACAGAAGACTCCATTTTGACGATCAAAAGAAGCATGCATCATCAATCATTAGTATTATAGTTATCAAATGAAATTAAATACATACTTTAAATCAGGGTGTGGATAGTTCTGAGATAACTATATATTTACAAGGCACTGATTATCATCGGCTCCTCCGACTGCTAAGCAATGGATAGATTATGTTAATTCTTTACTCCCACGGGAGAAACTCGCGTACCAACATCGCAATGCTTATCATAAGTTCCAGCAGGTATGGCAGGGTTGGCTGGATACACCTGGGCTCACCACTCCTCAATTGATAGTGGACCGACTTCTGCAGGTGTGATATTTTATATCAGGTGTGTGGCTCCACTCCTCCCCCTGGGGGAGTTCATGTGCATCTCCCATTCTTTTTTGATGAGAAGTCTCGGGTGAACCAGAGGCTGTAGTTGATGTGTTTTTTTTTCATTGTTTGAAGACATGTTTTGGGCTTTGTTCCTTTTCCCCATTTCTGTTCACATCTGGTCGGGAAGGAATAAGACGTAAAAAAGGAAAAAGCAAGATATTGTCAAGAAAGTTTTGGATCCTTGTGGTCTCTGTTTTGTTTGATTACCATTTCTGTTTTTCTGTTTATTACGGGATCTGCGTATCCACATTCTATTTATGTGCAATCCTGCTGTTATGTCATTGCGAATTATGTAAGTACTGTTCCATTTTCTCTATTATCTTGACAATAAAAGTTGTTTGAATTAAAAAAAAAACTATATATGTACAGTATGTGTGAATGAATAGATTCCCGAGTTTCTCTGTTCTTTAATTGCCATCTTTTGTACCTATAACTCAGTAATGCAATCTATTTGTACACCTTAAGATTGTTGTACATCTCAGGTCAAAATGTTTCTCCCAGTATTACAATGCATAACAACCAGACCTTAGTGGAGAAAATATATAACTTCAAAAATACTTTCATTTATATACCTCTTTGAGGAAGATCACTGGATTTCAATAAAGATAATATTTCTTCAAACAATGAGATAATAGTTGTATATACATGCCTTTGGGGGTAAAAGGGTTCTTTTTTAGGTTTTTTTTTGTTAATGTGATGCTAAATGATACCTTAAGTGTCCAAAATATCCACTACTTAATGGCCCTGTAATTTATTTTTTTCATGAAAAAGTTTCTGTGATTTTATACCTCCTTGCCTCCAAATGTTCTCAAACCCGATTTTTAACTCCACTTACTTCCATTTGTTCAGAAGGAGCAGTGATCGCTAGTTGTGCTCACATGCACGCTACAAATTCCATAGTCCACAGTTCATCTCAGGAACGAGAAAGAGAGGGTGGCTACAGTGCCAAATTACCAAATAGGCAGAGAAAGCATTGACCTATGGATCCCAAGCCATTTAACCTCCCTGGCAGTATGATTATTTCAGTTTTTTGGTGCTGAAAGCGGTACCATTATTTTGCATGGAAATTTGGCGTTTTATATTGTAGGCCTGTAATTCTTAGGAATAACTCACTGACATCTGTCCGAACAAGAGTCTAGTAAATATCCCGGGTAGGATAAAACTTGAAACACGAAATCATAAATTATAATTTAATAAATAATCATAAAAAATAATAATATAATAATAATAAATTTAATTCAATAATATAATCAAACCAAAAACACTGAAATTTGAAATATAGCACCAAGTTCGCACATCACTGAGCAAAGTCGCAAAATTGTTTTTAGTGTCTGATGACGAATTTCACCACAAATCATTATCACTTAATTCTGCAAGTGGTTCTGATTTACTATTGCTGTTCTCTAGCTGGTCTAAAACCGATTTTGACCTAAAGGGACGCTTTTTGGACGCCATGGATGTTTCTCAGTTTCCAGGCAATAAGAACAGTAAAAATGCAGGCAGGGCACAGGACAAAGCACTAGGGACAAAATGTATGTGAAATGCTTTGATACAGTAATGTTTTACTATGTTATTGTAGTGATTTTAGTGAATGTCACTTTTTGTCATTTTCAAATTTCCCGCCATTCCGTCCCCGTACACCCCGACGCTCGCAGAGGACGGAGCCCAGATGACAGATGCTGGCATCCGCCAGATTACATTGCCGGGGACACTGCAGGAGGGACATCGCGGGAGCGCAGGACAAGGTAAGTGACCGAGGGATCGCGGAGCAGAGCCGCATGGCATTCCCGAGTGTAGTTCGGGGTTACCGCTTGTGGTACTGAAACCTTACCCCGAGCTACACTCGGGAATACCGCCAGGGAGGTTAAGGGTCCCTCAAAAATAGTTCAAAATAATATTGATTTGATCTTGAAAGAAAATGACAATGTAGCTTTCTTAAATCATTTACAAATGATAGAAAAAAATGAATCTTAAATTGTAAACTCTAACGCGCAGGGCCCTCTGAATCCTCCTGTATTAATTTGTACTGTAATTGTACTGTCTGCCCTTATGTTGTAAAGTGCTGTGTAAACTGTTGGCACTATATAAATCCTGTATTATAATAATAATAATAATAACTAAAAAAAATGAAATTTTTACATTAAAGACTCTATAGAGAAAATGCTGTGTTAATGTATAGTACCCAATAACAACTTAAAATACATAAACCATAGACATCAGGTTCATTTTACAGTTTGTCTCTTAAAAGCTCATCTTCTTTCAGCTGTCAGTTTGTAAAAAAACATTGGTGCAACCTATGTACATGTAATGTACAGTAGTGATGGTCATCTCCATCTAGCGGCTGAAGTGCAAACTACTTGGTTCAATGTTATCCCACTAGAGAGCATGCATGAAAAAACCTCCAGAGACCTGCGAGAGGGGAGCCCGCAAGGTTCGGACTGCCTAGGGGCCTTCACGTAGTTTAATCCAGCACTGGGTGGCTACATTCCTACATACACTGGGACCATGGAGTATGAATGTAGCCACACTCTAAAAGGAAGTGGGACCACACTAACAAAAAAGCAATTTTGAGAATTGGTGGAGGCCAAGAGCAGAAAAGGGACTTTTGGGTTAAAGATACATACTTTAATATACATTCTTTTTTAACCACAGTTTAGTGTCAATTTATTCTGACTTTATTTCTGACTTGTGAGGATGTATCTAAATAGGAAGACCATGCAGCGTTTACAGATGTCTCAAATGTCCATTGTGTAGGAGGAGGTTGTACCAATTAAGAAGTTTATCAGATGGCTTTTTCCCACTGCGCAAGAGTGTGAGGAGCTAACTGTGATGATCTCTAAGTAACAGAAAGTGTTCAGTCCCAGATGGTTTCCCATTATTGTGCTAGATTGCATAACTAAAGGTTCCTTATTATACGTATCTATTTGATCTGGGAAATGAGTAAAGGAATTGGAACAAAGGTACTTGTCAAAAGCTATTTAGTTTCCCAGGCTGAAGAAAATCTTTTTAAATGACTTTATTTTCCCTCTTCTCTTACAATATGACAGTAAGCATTTTTTAAAGCCTATTTGTATTCTAATTGCTTTCTCGGAGATGACCTTGCATCACAACTGGAAGTACACAGACAACACACAGACAGTTTGTCAGAAAATGTGCATAGCACTGAACAGTGGTGCCAGATACAACTGGGCATTGGGAGATACAATGCTGTACGTAGAGAAACATGCTCATATCATGACAACCTTAGATAGCCTAACCTTGGTTTTATGTCTCGGCTACAGTATTATAAACAACCAATGCAAACAATGTGAGATACATGATTTTCCTGCATAATTTGGTGGGAAAATGTCCACTGCCAGTTGCCAACACAGAAATTCAGCTTTCTGCTAAAGAGCAGCCATAGCCCATCCCCCTCCCATCTGTCTATTGGTCCATCCCTGGAAGGGACAGACTAATGCAGGCCATAGACGGTTCGTTTATCAGCCGAATTTTCATCCGAAAGAATAATCGGCTGATATTCGCACCGTTAGTGGGGCAATTTCGTCGGCCGATTTTTGCGGTTCCTCATTTCTTTTATTGGTCATGCTGGAAAATTTACGAAAAACAGCAGCATTGGTGGCAACAGAATGACCGATTTTTCGTTTTTCGGCCGAAAATTCGGTCGATAAACGAACCGTCTATGGCCTGCATGAGGCCAGGCACACACAGACAAGAATTTACTAATGTTTATACTCAGGATTGACAAAAAGATCCTGAGTAAAAGTTCAGTAAAGACCTCATGTAAATGAGCGGAAAGGCACAAAAGTGTATACAAGCGTAAGTTTCTTCTTCATTGCCAGTATAGCAGTATTTGCATATATACACGTGTAAACATGCGCATATGTGTACATGCGTACATGTATAAATTACTTTGCACCCAAACGTAAAATTTTCTATTTTTGTTTCATGGCTCTGTACTCATTTCTTTATTACTGATCTTTATGCAGTTGTGTGTATGGTTCTACAGACAACAATGCAGTTATATCCAGATATCTGTAAAAAAAACATGGCACTTTTTACTGCCATGTGCAAGATACATATGGATAACTATCGACGTATAAGACTCCATGTACACTGCAGCTGATAAACTCACGTTTAGGAGCTGTTCTGCATTTTTTTTCAGCAGCCCCTGAACTCTCCCTAATGTTTTCCTATGTGTCCATGTACATATAGCTGTTTACAGGCGGTTGAGTTTACAGTCGTTTTTTTTGAATGCATCAAACTTGCGTTCAGGAGTAGATTTTATCAGCGTTTCAAATGCCAAACACTTGTAAACGCGGCTAACTGCGTTTATAAACATTTGCTTTTTTTTACGTTTTTTTAACTGTTCCATATCCAGATGCTGTCCAGAACCTTTTTTCATCATCAGAAATGCATGCAAAGCGTGTTCAAATGGACCCAGCACACCAGGGCAGTCAGTTCCAGGTTTTGCATGAAGGAAAAATGGTAGAACGTGCTGCATTATGCTCATGATGGGATCCATAGTGAATACAACCAGAAAAGACAGGTCATCTCAACACATACTGCTCTCTCTGCTTCTACTCTCTCAATTTCTCTCAAAATATCTGAAATAGTTAATATTTTACTATTTTTCAGTGCATTCTGGGCATTTGGGAGGGTCTCCTGAGGTTATCTTTAAAAAAAAAAAAAACGCTTCTAAACCCAAACGTGCATAAATGTGGTATGCAAACACAGCTAAACTGATGTTTTTTAACCTACGTTTTCCAGCAGTCAGTTTCCATCGTTCAGAAGTGTTTTCCAAACGTCCCGTGTACATGGAGCCTAAGTATTGAAGTGTTTATATACTGATTTATTGCGCAACATTTGCCTATTGCAACTTATATTTGATAAGAAACCTATAGAATTTTACCTTAAAGGGATGTTTATTTTTGAAGTGCTACATGTGGATAATTGTTTTCTACACACGGATAAGAGCATATTATTTTTGTTTTCATTATTTTATTATTTTACTTTTAGAAATTTGGAGCAATGATGCGGAACACTTTAGATTGAGCTACTAGATGGTATAGATTGGGTTATTTGTCACATAGTACTACACGGCACTGATGATATTTAAAGTGTTACTAAACCCACAACAGTAAAATCAGTCTGTATATGCAGTAAAGCATGCTTGTTATACTCACTGTGGAACCTAAGGGGTTAATCCTCTGCACTATGTAAAAAGGATTGTTGATCCTTTCTTCTCTGCCCCTCCTCTTGTTGAAATGACCACCTGATACAAACTGAATCCGTAGTCACATGCACATGCTCAGTTTAGTGTGTATTGCTCGAGAGGTTTTTTTTTTTTTTTTCTTGGGAGAGTGCATGTGATCAGCACAGGGCCAATCAGCACTGTCCAGACAGGGTTTCACATCCTCCTAGAGCAAAAATAAAACTCCTCCTACAAGTTTTAACATGTGCTCTACTGGACACTAATAGAAGCCACAAGACTGTCTAACTGCTGATGAGAAAAGGTATTTAGCAGTTTATATTTACTAAAATAATTGCACTTCCATGTTCTGTGTACTTTGGGAGCAGGGGTGGACTGACCATTTGGAAACTCGGGCACTGCCCGAGGGCCTGGGGTCAGTAGGGGGCCCCATGAGATGCCCCTGGTACCTTTTTCATAGGCTTTTTTGAGTTTGGGCAAGGACACAGGGGCCCCATGATCCCCTATTGCCCGAGGGCCTCATGAATTGTCAGTCCGCCCCTGTTTGGGAGACCAACTATAGTGAATGCAGGGTCCTAGGTTTAGTACCACTTTAAAGCTTGTAAGAGGAGTTTTCTTTCTGCTCTAGGAGGATGTGAAACCCTTGACCCTATGTCTGGACAGTGCTGATAGGCCCTGTGCTGATCACATGCACTCTCCCAAGAAAAAAAAACAACCTCTCAAGCACTACATGCTAAACTGAGCATGTGCAGAATGGCTACGGGTTCAGTAGCGCCCCCTACCCAGAAATGCAAAATCACGTATAGTATTTCTGTAGTATTTCTGCTATAGGGCAAGTGATTAAAAACTGCACAGAAAGCGCTTCTAAAAAGTGTTTTTGATGCACTTTTCAGGCGCTTTTCAGAGTGTATTTGTAGCTGCTGACTCTTATTTTTTTGGAAGGGTGTGGATGGGGGGGCTGAAGATGCTTTGCGCTTTTCAGGCGTATTTGTAGCTGCTGACCTTTATTTTTTTGGAGGGGGGCTGAAGATGCTCTTAAAACAGATGCTGATATTTTGACAAATACATTATTTTATATTTGCATGACAATATATAACTTAGGTTAGCTAGTTTTATTTGAAGTTTGAAGCATTAGCATCACATGCTTACAATGCTTCTTCTTTGGACTATCAGCAGAAGATTTGTCTTGTCCTTTAAACGTCGCAGTGACTTTTACAATATAGGTTATTTTAGATAAAAGCCGGAAGCTGATGGCAATGCAGAGACTCTTCACACAATCTACTTTTGAAGGTCATATCTGGGATGTTTTGAGGAATTGCAATAAAGACAGCTGGTGCCCTCTACATTTCTCTTATTCCTATCTCCTCTCGATCCAAGTCATTCATTTCCATTCTCCTCAGGTGCCTTTCATCCTTTTGTGTTATGCATTATGATGCTGCGCCGTACAAGATTTCAGTCTTATGCACATTATTCTTCCAAAGTATTAGACATTTGTTTCAGGTGTCCTAAACTACAAAGAAAAGAGATTCCATTTTATCCTCAGCCTCCATGCATCAACTTTGGGTTTAGAGGAATTTAAGTCATCAGCTCCATTTCCTGGCACTCATGATAGACTGAGTAGTGGCGATAAGAGAAAAGTTACTTGCCATGCTTTTAAACT